AGAGACTGGGACTTTTCAGCTTAGAAAAGAGGAGACGGAGGGGGGACAGGATAGAGGTCTGTAAAAGCAGGGGTTGGGTGGAGAGGGTGCATTCAGAAAAGTTCTTCCTGAGTTCCCATAAAGAAGGACTAGAGGACACCAAAGGAAAGGAATGGGTAGCAGGCTTGAAACTAGTAAGAGAAAGTTGTTCTTCTTCCCAAAGCAAATAGTTAACCTGTGGAACTCCTTGCTGCAGGAGGCTGTGAAGGCTACAACTAGAACAGAGTTTAAAGGGAAGTGAGATCAAGTGATGGAGGTTGGGTCCATGGAGTCCTATTAGCCAGAGGGTAGGAGTGGTGTCCCTGCCCAAAGTTTGTGGAAGGCTGGAGAGGGATGGCACGAGACAAATGGCTTGGTCATTGTCTTCGATCCATTCCCTCCAGGTTCCCTAGGGTTGGCCGCTGTTGGCAGACAGGCTACTGGGCTAGATGGACCTTTGGTCTGACCCAGGATGGCCATTGTAAGCTCAGGGCTCAGTGTCGGGGGTCTCAGTGGACCCCCTTGATTTTCATGCACACCTGGTCCTGGGTGGCCAGGCTGGCAGCTCTCCTGCCCTAGACGGCCACTTTCCTGTGCCTAGTGCGGAGATCATGGACGAGGTCCACGATGTCCGCACTAGCCCAGGAAGGTGCCCGCCTCTTGCGGTCCAGGGCAAGCTCCCGGGAGCCGCCAGCCTGGTCCCGGCAAGAGGGGGTGGGCTGGGGGGCATCGGGTGGGTGGCTCTGTGCCGTGCCAGGTGCAGGGTCTGCTAGCTGGGTGCTGGCAGGCTTGCACCTGGCACGGGCACCGTAGCCAGCCCGTGCCCCTTTAAGGGGTCCGGGGCCGGGAGGGGGGCATAGAGTTTCCCTGGTGTTGGCCAGAGTGGCCACCAGGGAAACCTGGGAAGCCTTAGCCTCCCACTAGTTCGAACTAAAGGGCTACACAGCCCTTAGTTCGAACTAGCTAGTTCGAACTAGGCGTTAGTCCTCGTAAAATGAGGTTTACCTAGTTCGAACTAAGCGCTCCGTTAGTTCGAATTAAGTTCGAACTAACGGAGCGCTAGTGTAGCACATAGGAAAGTTAGTTCGAACTAACGTCCGTTAGTTCGAACTAACTTTCTAGTGTAGACATACCCTGGATGCTTCTTAACCCTTTCTACCCCACACAAAGCGAAATCTAGCCGTATATTTTTAGCCTCTGTGTGATTTGATATTGAGACAACAGGTGGAATCCTGGCCCGACTGACGTCAATGGAAGCTTTGACACTGACTTCACTAGGGCCTGGAGTTCACCCGCAATGTCTCCAAACTGGTACCTCCGCAGATCCTTTCCACTGACTCCACCAGAACCGACATTTCCTCCTCTGGCAACAGAAACAGAGGAGCTTCATCAGTAATCAAGGCTAATGTTGGCCTTCTCTAGCCAGCCGGCTAGAGAAGTGGGAAGAAAGGCTCTCACCTCAGTACTGACCCAATGCTCTGGGCTGATGCTGGGGGCTGTAGGAGGTACCATCTTTCTGACACAATTTCAAACCAAGGTCCTGTCCCTCAAGAGTCTCTGATACTTTTACTGCCATAGGGAGTTTAAACCTGGTCTCCACCCTCCCTGTTTGTAATCTCATTCTCGAACCAATCCTTCCAAGGGTGCAAATGGTTAATGACTGACCCAACAATTCTTCACAGAGGAAATGAGGTTAAAAATGCTCCTTTCCTCAAACATCAGTTACCTCGCAATCTATTTTTTCTCCATAACCTGTGTATGCTGGAGCCTGCAGGAACTCCCAGGTTCCACCCTTGTCAAAGGTGATGACAGACCTCATGTTCTCTTCACTGAAAGAGCCGTTTATCAGGGTGGCAATGTACACTCCTCTCACACCCTCAACACGGTGGAAGTCTGCAAAAGGCTCGTTGGCAAAATACCTGCAATGAAGCGCATGTGAGTGTCATATGGTTGACGGCAGTAAGCACTGCCATTGTGGGCAGAAAGCACAAGTACGATCGCTTCTCAGAGAAATATCCAGATCAAAGCACGGAAAGCCAATTGACCAAACGAGTGTTTCACCGGGGTAGCTAATTTACTGCTGTCATCTATCCTGAGTCCTTTCATTGGACACTTTTAGAAGGCCACCTCAAAGCGACCAGTAAGAAACCACCTTCCTCACAGTGTGGGTCCTCCAGACCGAGGCAGCGAGAGCTGTGCCCTGGCTCCACACCCTCACGCTGGTCTTACATCGTCACCGGAATGGAATCACAAGTAGGAACACAGCCTCGGGCAGCAGTTTTCAAACTTTTTATCTCATGACGCAGCTGAAGAAAATTGTTGATTCCCATGACCCAGCATAACTGAACTAAAATGTGGATCGGGGGGCTGAGGAAGAGAGCTGCAGCTTTGGGGAAGGGTCAGGGCTGGGGCAGGGGCCTTGCCTTGAGTGGTTCCCAGGCGGCAGTGCAGCAGGGGGGAGGGGCTAAGACAGTTTCCTGCCTCTCCTGGCCCTGCAGACTATGCTGCGCTCCAGAAGCAGCCGCAGCAGGTTCCCAGTCAATGGGAGTGTGGCGCTAGTGCTTGGGGCAGGGGCAGGGGCAAGGGCCCTTCTGCCCCCCACTCTCACCTAGGAGCTGGCCATGTCCGGGGAGCAGCACAGTCTGCAGTGCCTGGACAGGCAGGTAGCTGCCTTAGCACCCCACTGATCCCCTGCAGCAATGAGACTGGGTCACATCTAAGCACAGGAGTGGGAGCTCAGAATTACTGAGACCTGATCCCAGCTCTACTACCTGCCTTTTCTGTGATCTTGGATGAATCACTTAACAGCTCCCTCTCCTCTGTGAAATGGGCACAGTGCCTACCTCTTAGGGGAGTCGCTGGGTTGAGCTGAGGTTTGTCTCTTTATCTGAAGGGTTGCATCAACACTCATTCCCTGATGCCCTCCTGTTCCATCCTCTTCAAGTTTCAGATGAACCTCATCTTGAATCCCTCACGCCACCCAGCCACAGGAGGGAGTTCCATCAAGCCAACCCAGCCCTCCTTACCTGACCAAGGTATCGCTGCCGGCCCCTCCAGGGCTGTAGTACAACACATTTTCCAGAGACAGAGAGAACTGCAGGCCTTCTGCGTCGGAGATGTAGAGGTTGGTGCGGTTGTTACTGTGGCTGACACACGCAAACACCTGCTCCTCAGATGCATCCACAATGTAGTATTCCTACAATGACATCAATTCACTCAGCCTGTCCATCACTCTCCTAGACACACACTGAGGGGTTTTCCACCCTCCATCATTTGTCATTTCCTCTTGGGCACCTAACAATAAATCCTCCCTCCACCCATTTTCAGCATTTCCACTTGGCGAACAAATTTCTCCCCTCTGTTTCTTGCACACGAGTGTGTGTCCCTTTCTCCCCCTCCACCAAACCCCATCTCAAAGAGCGGTCCAGCTGCAAAGAAATCCAATAAAGACTAGCACTTGCACCCTGCTCACAACTCGCCCAGCTCACACTGGCTTGACTAGCCGTACTTGTGTCTGCCCGTTTCTGTTCAGAGCTGAACAAAACCATCAGCACCTTGAGACCCCGCCCCACACCCGCCCAGCCCCCCCCGGGTTTGTTTAGCCGTACTTGTGTCTGCCCGTTTCTGTTCAGAGCTGAACAAAACCATCAGCACCTTGAGCACAGAACATGCCCACTTGTGTGCACACACCCTGCCAGCACCATGAAGGCACCTTGACACTCCTCTGTGTGCTCCTGCTTTGGGCAGCAGTGCCAGTCTGGGGGTGCTGCGTTTGCTGGGATGATACCACAGGGCTCTTTGAACCCTGAATGATCCCATGGGGTCCCATCTGTGTGGCAGAGCAAGGAACATTCCAGACCAGACAGTACTGTCAAAAGTACTTGCCCACAATGAGTGTGGGGCGGGCTGCCCAAGGGGCAGTCTGGGAGGTATGGTGCCTGCAGAGGCACAATCCTTCCCCCAGCTCCATCATGCACAGGGAACATGTTTGCAACTCCTCCCCTCTGCCATCAGCGGCAGAGAAGATGGGGGGGGACACATGACATTACTCTCTGGGCTGACTTGTATCCACAGTGATGCTAGCAAGGTGCTCCCACAGTTGCCAGAATTATTGTGCCAGACCCTTACATGAGAGGAGGGAAGGCTCCTTACAACTGCCCGGTGCATTCAGACTCGTACTATATGCAGCCTGGGCTGCACACAGACAATAATTTTCTGGCGCACAGCAGTGCTGAGAGTATTTAGAATCCAGAGGCCATTCCCCTCTAGATTACACTGCTTAAAAATATTGCCAGAACTATTTCACCCAGCTCTATTGGGCCCGATTCTGCAAACATGTATGCATGAGTGACTTCACTCTTGTTTGTAGCCCTATTTGTATCAATAGGCATCACACACATGGGTAAAGTTACTCGGCTACGTCTAGACTGGCATGATTTTCTGCAAATGCTTTTAACAGAAAAGTTTTTCCATTAAAAGCATTTGCGGAAAAGAGCGTCTAGATTGGCACAGATGCTTTTCCGCAAAAAAAGCATTGGTCCATGCCAATCTAGACGCGGTTTTGCACAAGAAAGCCCCGATCGCCATTTTCGCCATCAGGGCTTTTTTGCGCAAAACAGTTTTTAGCGCTCTATGCTGGCCCTCTTGCACAAAAACATTTCCAGAAAAGGGCTTTTGCCCGAACGGGAACGTCAAAGCATTTGCACAAGAAGCACTGATTTTGGACAGTAGAACGTCAGTGCTTTTGCGCAAAATCAAGCAGCCAGTGTAGACAGCTAGCAAGTTTTTGCACAAAAGCAAATGCTTTTGCGGGAAAACTTGCCAGTCTAGACGTAGCCACTCATGTTTAAAAAGGCAGGGTTTTCATTACACGTTACTTCCATTTCATTCTAAACAAAAGACGCCAAACTGTTTTGAACTAAGTACAGAATAAAACTGCTCTTGCTACCAATCTAAGTGTTGCAAATACTAGTTAATAAGTAAAAAATGCTATTCAGATCCTATACAAAACTCAGGTGCCTTTTGCTAAGGGAGAAAAAAATAGATGCCATAAATCAAGTCCATTGTACCTTAACTGGATGTCTGGTTACAAATTGTGCAGCTCGCATTGGCTTGCGGTTAAAGGAAACCCAGAGCTGAACTGAAGTTTGCTGCTGGCTGCCCAATAAATGCTATGGAAAAGAAGGGAAAATATTAGGAATCTTTTTTTATTCCTAAATACAATTGCATATCAAACAGGCTAAAGGCAGAGCAGATACAAATTAACAAAATCCACAGTAGAAAAGCAAGCAAATACCTTACCCATTCTCCAAAAAATAAAAAACCCACAACACAGTAACTTGATGGCTAGTTTGGCTGAGATCCTGTGACACTAGGATACTAAAAACATAAAACTGCCTTAGCAGTGTTCCCTGTGATTGTCAAACCTGAAAACTGTATGCCCTATGCCAGCATATGTGATCTTATTAGTGGTAACTCAGCAACCCCTCTGCAATTTATTTATCTATTTGCCCCATATCCTGTTAGTGTTAAGGAAACAGGAGCTTGGATATCAAATCGATGGGATTTATAGCTAGAAAACTAGTTTGAACCTGTTGAGGATTTCCTTGTCCTTTTAAGAAATAAGAGTGAGATCCCTTTAAAATGCACAGCACCAAATCTTCAGCTTCTTCATTGTTCTGAGCACACTTTTGGAAGATAAAAACAACCTTTCCTTCTAACTGACTAGCCAGGTTGTCAAAGGCTGATGTTTTCCTCCCACTCTCTGCTCTTCCAACCAGGCTGAATGAAATGAAAACGCCTGGTTTTATTCATGCCTTTTGCACGTTAGCCTCAATGTTTCAATTTAGATTTTTATAGTTTGGAGGATGAGTATCACATGATTCATAAAAATCATAGCCAAAATTTCCAAACAAGGGATGTCCAAGTTAGGCACTTCAATCTGTATCTAGGCTGCAAAATAACTGATCTGATTTTCTGAGGTGCTGAAGCCTCACAACTGCCACTGAAATCAAGAGAAGTCCTGACAATGAAGGTGCCTGTGTCTTGCACTGAACAAATGAGAGCTACCCAATCACTGAGGGCCCAGAAGATCACAGCTCCTCCCTCCTGCTGCATATGCTCCAGGTGGAGGAGACAGATGGGAAGAGAAACATCCTGAAAACCTCTCCCTGAATCTGCAGCACTGGGGGCTGATTCATGGCCCTTCAACAGTGGTTTAGGCTCTAGTTTGGGGCTCAGGTTCATTTCCCTGCTCTGCTACAATCTCACTGTTGTCCTTGGACAAGACATTTAGATTCTCTGGACCTCAGTTTCCCAGCTGGAAAATGGAGATAACAGAAGTATTCTGCCTCAGAGGGTCACTGTGAGGAAAAATGCAGTAAAGATTATGAGGAGTTTAGATACTAAGGTAATAGGGCAAAGATAACAAAGATGTGAGGGACAACGGCCTGTATCTCACAGAAGAACAAGGAGACAACTCTGAGTGCACATTTGCAATGTCTACTTCATGTTGGGGTTAATTTAGCCCAAAAAAGCACGCAGCTCCCAATGACAATAAAGTTACAGAGACTAGCTTAACTCTCTCAGATGAGTCAGGGCCTGATCCCTCTACAGGCTTTGGAGACAGCCCAATGCCAGCTCAATACAAACAAAGAGTAAAGGCTTCAGTTTTTACAGGACATATCATTTAGCAACTGAAAGTTTCCCTCAAACCGTTTTCTCCAGACGTGCATTTAGCTGCTGAGAGTATTTACATGGCTAAGAGTAAACTGTACTGCAGATCTGGGTTACACTCGCTACTCACTACTGCAGAAAGTACAGGAAACTTTTTGGGGGAACCACAGAAAAATGACTAGGGGCTGGCTTGTTAAAAATGCTTTGCTGGCAGTGGAAGGTTAAAACATAACGGCTACATCTACACTGGCATCCCTTCCGGAAAAGGGATGCTAATGTAGACTTTGGAATAGGCAAATCTGCAGGGGATTTAAATATCCCCCGCGGCATTTGCATTAACATGGCTGCCGCTTTTTTTGAAAGTAGGAATAAGAAATCCTCTGGAAAAGGCTTTATTTTCCGGAGAATAACGTCTAGACTGGCGCTTTTCTCCAGCTTTTCCCCAAGCCGGAAAAAAGCGGCAGCCATGTTAATGCAAATGTCGCGGGGGATATTTAAATCCCCCGTGGATTTGCCTATTCCAAAGTGTTACATTAGCATCCCTTTTCCGGAAGGGATGCCAGTGTAGACACAGCCAATGTGTTTTACCTTCCAGGGGGAAAGAATAAAGCTTTTTAGATCAGATTAAAATAAAGAAAACCCCAGTTGTCAATTTCTGCCTTCCCTTTACTTATAGGCATCTAGTTCTTTCTTGCCACAATTCCAGTCCTTTGCGGCCTGACCTAGTTCTGCCTAACTCACTAAAATCAAATAAATATATAAAAATACTGCTGTTCCAAGCTGATCTCCTTTTAACCCTGCATTGCGAATCACTGAGGAAAAATACTGGCACTTGGTTTATCCGGTCATTTCAGACAGTGTCTTTCCAGCAGAGCCATTTAGCCATTCTTGTTTGTATGTGCAAAGGTAAAGCACCAGATGAACAGCCCTGGAGACTGGACTCCTGTATTTATCCACACTGCATAGAGATGCTTTTACAGTGAACTACACAAAACATCCCAATGTACTTTGATGCAGCAGGACACACCATTTTAGCTTTGCTAAATGTTCTAATCATCTCTCTAGATGACTCATTCATATGTTTCCCAGCTCTCAGCAGAAGTGCTACTGTCATGTCTAGGGTGCTGAATATTAATATTCTGGTGGAGGGAGTCATTTTCGTCTGGCACTCTCCAGTCTGGCAACATCCATGTTCCGGCATGATTTTAGTTAGCAGGATGTCCACTTTTTTTGGGTGTGGCCAAGTCCCATTAAGTTTGCATTAACATGGCTGCTGCTTTTTTCCGGCTTCTAGATAAGCTGGAGAAAAGCGCCAGTCTGGACGCGATCCTCCGGAAAATAAGCTCTTTTCCAGAGGATCTCTTATTCCTACTTTCAAGAGATCTTCAAGTAGGAATAAGAGATCCTCCAGAAAAGAGCTTATTTTCCGGAGGATCGCGTCCAGACTGGCGCTTTTCTCCAGCTTATCTAGAAGCCGGAAAAAAGCAGCAGCCATGTTAATGCAAACTTAATGGGACTTGGCCACACCCAAAAAAAGTGGACATCCTGCTAACTAAAATCATGCCGGAACATGGATGTTGCCAGACTGGAGAGTGCCAGACTAGAGAATTTCTACTTGTACTTTTTTTTTTTCTGTGCTGCTGCCTGTTTGTATTTCCAGTTCCAAATGAGGTGTGTGGTTGACTGATCAGTTTGTAACTCTGGTGTTCATAACTCTGAGGTTCTACTGTACCCAGTTCTTTATACAGCACTATTCATCCATACAGCTCAAAGCACTTTGCAAAGCAGGTCAATATCACTAGCACTGTCTTTCAGATGGGAAATCTGAGGCAGTGAAGTGAGTTGCCCAAGGTCACCCAGCAGATCATTGTAAAATTTCAGCCTACACAGTGATTTTCTTACAAGCTACTTACCACAGTCTTTGTGGCAAACAGATACTTGTCTCGGAGCTGGAAGTCTTCAACCTCTTCCAGAATTATTTCTTTATTTTCCCTGGTTTGAAAGAAATCTGTGCTGCGAATAATAGTTGAGGACCCGGTAGGTTCATGCCGTTCTATGTAAATTGTATTCAGCTTATCATATGGGTCAATGCCCCTTGGACAGAAAAAAGAAAGAAAACAGCTATATTATTTCTGAGCTTACCCGGCTATCAAGGCAGTATCAGCTATTTAAAAACGAAGTCATTTAAGAAGAGATGGGCTCAAACTGCAAAACTTGGATCAGGATTGTGAACACCCAGCAGCTAGATAATGAGAACATGGTCTTTGGTTCACCTCATTCTAAAAAAAGAGGCTATCTGCCAAATCTGGATCGAAATTCCAGTTTGAATTTACAAACCACTCACAGAAGAGCTGGTCAAAATAAAGGGGGAGAATTGCAAAAATAGCTGACACCTTTCTCTCCGCTGTGTTCCACTGACATTCAAGATCCATTGGTAAGACCAATTAAGCAGCTTAAAGCTGGTTGAAAACAAGGAAAACTGAAAATGTATGATCCATCTGTCAGAAAGACATTCTCTTCCCAGCCTCCTCATAAGGTATAAGAAGAGAACTTTATTCAGTTTCATAAGTGAAATGCAAAGGTGTTCAGTGAAACTATTGAAGTTCAGTCCCATGTGCATGTTTCAGAGATTATCAGGGCAAGTTACGCGTTATTTATCATTAAAATGAAAAAAACCCTGCTAGGTAGAAACTCAGATTCCAGCACTGGACAACAAAAAAGAATCATAGTGAGAAAGCAACCAAGAACTGGATAGCATGTGCCATTTTGTGTTTACTGCTCTGAAATCTATTTATAGTGACCATTTAAGGAACCAGAAAACAAACACCTCCCAATCAGAGATGGGGCTATTACTGCAAGTTTCCCTGCAAATAGATGGCATGGATTGGCTGTGAGTAGCTTTGATCTCAAGAAACCTTTTTTAACTTTATTAAGACCAAATCATGTACCATTGATGTTAACAGGAGTTCAATCTCCACCTTCAGTGTGAGCAGGATCAAGTCTTTTGAATGAAAAACGTTTTAAGATTTAGAGTAAAACTGTCCCCTCACACCCACACAGCAGATCTTGGTTCAGATATTCTGCTGCAATTGTTTGACAGTGCACATCAGCACAACTGATTAGGACAGGAAATGAAGGAGAACACAGTCTCTACCTGAAACTGCAAAAGGAGTTCAGGGAATAATTGCATGAGTGAGAATTTTGGAAAACATTCCCTGGGTCTTGCTAAAACCGCTACACAATCTTCAATGAACATTACGTTTTTAAAATAGCCCAGTGCCTCTAATTATTATTTGTTTTCCTGCAGTGCCTAGGCACTCTAGTCTTAGATCAGTGTCCCGCTGTGCTATGTGCTGTACAAACCCAGAACAAAAAGATATCCCTTGTCCCTTAGCATCAAGATTCACAATGAACTACTGAATCACCAAGGGTACGTCTACACTGCACACTTATTTCGAAATAAGCTATTCCAGAATAGTTATGCCAAAACAGCTTATTTCGAAATACCACATCTACATTGCAGGGAAGCCTCAAACTTGGTCTGAGACAGGCTCCCCTAATGTGGACGCACTATCTCGATTTAGAACCCCAGGAGGCACTGGGGTGGAATAACTCAGAATGGCCCTAGGGAGGGGCTATTTCGAAATAGCAGCAGTAGAGCATCTACACACGCCTTCGCTATTTCGAAATAGCTATTTTGGAATAGGTGTTATTCCTAATAGAATGAGGTTTACAGATTTTGGAATAAGCCATCTGTTATTTTGAAATTATTTCAAAATAACAGAATGGCTGTGTAGACGCTCCAATTGTTATTTCGAAATAACGCTAGTTATCTTGAAATAACGGTGCATTGTAAACACACCCCAACACTAGCATTTGCTGGATGCTGGCTTTTCCTTCACAGAGTCGATCCAAATACCAACACAGCTTTATAACGTTTAACTTGTGGAAGCTATGGAGACACAATATGAGTCAAGCTGAAATTCTATGAGCTTTCAGTTGTCCCCCTTCTGCCTCATATTCCCATGGCAAACTGCTGTGATCTATAATATCCACTTATTATGGAATTAACTCTGGGGGAGAATACATTTCTGCATCTCATACTCTCCAGTGTCTTCTGAGCCCAAGTTCTTGGCAAAAAATAGGGGAGACCTAAGGAGGCCTGAAAGGACAAAAAAGGGAAAAACTTCCACAGTGACCCAAAGATTCAATACGTACCAAGAAAAAGATTTCACGTGTTCCTGAATCATTATCCAGGTCTGTCCAAAATCATCCGATTGCCAGAGCTGCAATACAAAATGTCAGTGACACAGGTGAGACTCAGATAGGGTACATCTAGACTGCAGCGCTATTTTGGGATACTGGAGATATCCCGAAATAGGTATTCCACATCTTTTGAACAAGCCCATTGTTTCAAAATAGATTTCAAAATAATGGGCTCGCTATTCTGACGTCCCTATAACTCTCGTGCCACAAGGGTTAAGGAACAATTTATTTCAAAATTTGGCACTGTGTAGACAAAGCTATTTTGAAATTAAGTCGAAATAAGATGCGCAATTTGCGTAGCTCAAATTGCATATCATATTTTGACCTACAGGTGCATTGTAGATGCATCCATACTCTAGCCACTGGAGCCTAAATCATTCCCCAGACTGAGTAAATTAAAGGGCTAAATTCTGGAAAGCACATTGCTTCCCCAAGCCATAACATACATGAGCAGGGCTGACGCGGACCTGTACTTTGACTCTAAGCAGCTCTGTGCGGTACTCCTCTGCAAATGAATGCTGCCAGGAGCAATAGTGATCTACTTGTAGATGTATAGCATGTGCAGGGAACAGATGCCAGGTGGATGCGTACTCCTAAAGCCTGGACAGATGCCAAATTACTGCCTGCAGAGATGCCCTCATGGGGGGCTAATCAGAATTAGGAATAACCTCTCATGTGAAAGCAAAAGAAAGCATGAGACCTCTGCAATAGAAGCCGTCTTGCTCTCTGTTTCTATCACAACACCAACCACACCGTTGGCATTTAAATCATAATTACATTATTTTGCTGGTTTGCGCATAGAACCAGCCAGATTCCAGACCCAATGTTCAGTGCAAACAGTTTGATTTTAAAAAAGGCAGCGATCATCAATACATCCAGCATAACTTACAAATAAATGTACCATTGCCTCCCATTAGCAATGTAGTTCAGCGCGTACCGAGTGGAGAATTAAGCTCTAACTCAGAAACAAGAGTAAAAGGCAATAACGGCTGTCTGCGGTAGAGTGACTAAGGACTAGTTATTGCCCTTTCACTGATCTAGCAGAATGGCGTTGTCTGATTGTGTCTGATAGGAGTGATGTGTGAGCATTAATCTTGGTCCTTTCCACTTCAGAAACACAGCATGTTCATTTAATCCTTTAAAATAATATTACTCTGTGCTTCTGTGGCATCTTTCTTCTGCAGCTATACAAAAGCTTTTGCAAACAGGAATGTAGACCCTTACCAAGATGATAAGTTTTATATTGGTCTTACAGATAGGTAAATTAGAGCTCAGTGAAATGATCTGCTCTGTCACACATTGAGTCAGCTGCAAAAACAGGAATGAGAACCCAAGAGATGACTCAGACAACTGATCTAACCGCAAGATTAACCCTGTCCCTGAGGAGGGAGAAAAATTATTCTCCTTCACTTCTGATGATAGGACAAGAAGCAATGGGCTTAAATTACAGCAAGGGAGGTTTAGGTTAAACTTCCTAACTCTCCGGTTACGTCTACATTGCACTTTCTTGTGCAAGAACGTATGCAAATGAGGCACCGCAATGAATATCGCCACACCTCATTTGCATACTTAATGAGCCATCATTTTTGTGCAAGGGGCTTTTGCGCAAGAGCTGTTCTGCCACTTATTTTCAGGCAGAGTGGCTCTTGAGCAAGAGGGGGGTTTGCACAAGAAGGAGCAGTGTAGACTGCTCCGCCTTGCACAAAAGCCCCTTACACAAAAATGACAGTTCATTAAGTATGCAAATGAGGTGCAGCAATATTCATCACTGCTCCTCATTTGCATATGTTCTCGCGCAAGAAAGCACAATGTAGACGTAGCCTCCGAGTAGTAAAACATAGAATAAATTGCTTAGGGAGGTCGTGGAATCTCCATCACTGGAAATTTTTAAGAGCAAGTTAGACACCTGCCAGGGATAGTCTAGATCACTGATGGGCAACCTAGGCTAGTGAATAGTCCACCTTCATCTCAGTAGGCCACAGGAGTGTCCTAACCAAGACATTCTCCTGGGACAGGGTAGTTCTGCTAAATGTCCTTGTATACCTAGAATTTGCAGAGTTGTGCTGACTGAACCATAGTAATGCTGTGAATGGATGCAAAGGGAGCACCCAGTTTTCACGGTCAATGTTGTATGCAATCAGCATGAACCTCACTGCACACGCCCTGGCTTTACGTGCATGTCACTTGAGTAATACTGGTAGGGAAAAAACAATGTGGACAGAAACCAGAGGAGTCTGGCAATCCTGCACGTGGGCTACAGTAAACAAGTATCTTGTGGGCCATGTATATAATCCCAATGGGCCACAGCTTGCCCACCACTTGTCTAGATAGTTCTTGTTCCTGCCATGAATGCAGAGGATTGGACCTGATGACCTCTTGAGGTTCCTTCCAGTTCTACAGGATGAATCTCTCTTGTCTGGAATCCTCAGGACCTGATCGGTTCTGAACAAGAGAATTTGCCGGACCATGGAAGGTCAGTATTGTCCAGCAGCATCACCAACACTTCCACTGCGCACTGGGCTGTTAGAAAATATTCAGGGGTAAAGTAGCGCAGAACGCTGAGAGCTAGGACTAGTGGCTATAAACAAACTTGATGGGACCACAGGAAACTTGGCCAAACCCATGAAAAGTGGACATCCAGCTAACTCAAATCATTCTGGACAATGGATGTTTCCAGACCAGAGGGTTCTAAATTAGCAAGGTTCAACCTGTACTCTTCTATAATTATCAACTAACCTAGCGACAGAAGCTAACAAAATCATAGGGGTCAGTGCCAGTGGTGTGCAGGGAATGCAGATGAACTGTGAAGTCCTGGGGGAAAATTCCTACAGAACAGAAGCACAGCGGAGCTGACCATTGAGAGCATGCCAGGCAAAGGAGGAGACAGATGGGAGTATGCGCAGGAGTAGTTGTTGAATTCAGTCAGCACTGTGCAGTTGTAACCCGAAGAGGCTGCTTTAAGTCAGAGGGATTTGGGGGCTGCTGTATCCTATAGCAGGAATCACTCACAAATGCCAGCAGCACACCAGAATCAACAGAGCACACACAGAGCTGCTTTATCCACCCCCACGCCTTGGCTCTCCCATCTCCGCTGTCCCTCTCTGATCAGAAAATCCAGCCCCCTAAAATATAACTAAAAGATCAGACTATCTGTACTTTTGAGGGGAGGTCGTTTTTTTTTAACAGATTTTTATTTGTGTTTTCAGGCAGAAAGTCCATGCACAGTCATTTCAAAAGCTGTACACACTACCCGCCAAAAAACCAAAACCTTGTTTTGTGCCAAAGCGGCAACTTGCAGAGCAAGGCCTATTGCAAACATTTGCAATGCAAAGCTGCCAGCCCATGTTAAATGATCCAAAGGTCACTCCTGACCGTATTGGCAGTTCTCTGGCATGAGTTACTAATGAGGCAGGCAGTGGATTAGTCGAAGTGGGGAGAAGGCTGTCACAGCTTGTTTCTGCCAAAAAATATAACCACCACCTTTATCCTTGCTACCAAAGGGAAAAAAGATTTCTGTGTTTAAAAGGAAATGTGCTGGCTAGGTAGAGCCAGGATGGGGTGGATGTTCTGTGCGCTCTGCCCCTAGATGGGAAAATAATCTACTAATCATGGCAAGAAGATACTAAAGCACAAATCCACATGATACTGGTATGTGATTTTTCAAGATAAACACTTTGGCCACTGCCAACCATAAAGCCTACAGAACATGAAATATATAGTCTAGTGTTTCTGAGCCTACCTATTTCTTCCCATAGCAGAGTATAAATAATAAGGCTCACGTCTTCCTTTAAGGTGCACTGGAGCTCACTTCTACTCTATGGCTGTGTGACAAGGTGGACCAGGCCCCAAAACCCCTGCTGGGGGCAAACCATAGAGACGTCCCCCAGGAAAGTTTGGATACATCTACACTGCACAGCTATTATAGCTACCTACAGCTACACAAGCTGCCCGTTATTTCAAAATATTTTTTGAAATAACCGACGTGCTATTTCAGCATCCCGATAACCCTCGTTACACAAAAGTTAAGGGTTGTCTCGAAATAGCACGTTATTTCAAAATTTGGTGCTGTGTAGATGCACCAAATTTCAAAATAAGCTATTTCGAGTTTAGGGTGCTATGTAGATGCACCCATCGAGTGGCACAAAGGATGTAACGAATCAGGACTCAGCAAGCAGGTTAAAAGGAAGCTTTTGGGCCAGAGTGAAGCAGTTCCTCTTTAGGGCTCAAGAAACTCCAACAGGGCAGCCACAGCATGGAGTACAGGCCTAGGCACTCGGCCAAAGGGGATGGCCCCCATTGCAGGCCATTCTCAAACGTTAAATGGTTGAGAAGAATCATGAAGGAATGTTACATAGCGCCTGGGGACCAACAAGCCAGAACTCCTGGGTTCATGCCCTGGCTTTGACCCTGACGCTTTGTGTGATCGTGGCTGAAGCTCTTACTCTTTGTGCCTCAATTTCCCCATGTGGACTATTTTTACAAGCAGTGGCCATTGGCCTGTATATGTGCGGTAGGCATTCCTTGTGCGCCCAACCAACGGTATCAAAGGTGGTGTGGGCCACTTTCCCATTTTTACTGCAGTACAAACAATTTGCAGCAAAGAGGGTGGAAATACAAATAAAGACAACTTCGCTCAGCTACAGGTACAGCTACAGGGAAGCAAACTCCATTTCTTCTTTAAGTGGTGGTCCCTGTGTGAATTTCATAGGTGGGAGATTAACAAGCAGCAGTCACACGCAGGCTGGGTGCAGGTCACAGAAGTGATAGCTGACTGCGTTCCCCACAGCTGTATCTGCAGATGACCCTGTGTGTATGCAAACAACTCCAAGTAATGCACTACAGATCTCCAGTAGAGAGATGTCTCTCACAGATGCAGCCAACTTGCCTTTCTGGCAGAGGAATGTGAGCTAATTGGTAACTCAGTGAGACCCATTTTGGAAAATCTCTGAGCCAGTATACCTTGACCTCTTGATCTCTCTGCTATGGGAGAGGGGGAACAACAGTTCAGGTGTCTTTCTAACGTCCTTTGTGGAGGAAAAAAAATGAAAGCCTTTAGAATATCCAAAGAACCCAGTCTTTTCTCCTTTTTCAAGACTTATGGTTTAGAAAAAAATGGTAAGTGAATGGCCTGACTCACATGGCACTTGGAAACTACTTTAGGGATGATTCTGGGGGCAAAGGGCATAATGCAGCCTTTTCGTTATAGCAGGTACTATGGGGTGAGTCCACCCTAAGCACAACCGGCTCTCTGGTTTATCTGGCTTAGGTTAGAGCAGTGGTCACCAACCAGTAGATGGGGATCTACCAGTAGATCTTGGAGCCTCTGACAGGTGATCCTGACTGGTCTGGCGGGGAAGCTAGCAAGCGCTGGTACTTCAGCTGCCTGTCCTGCTGCTCCTGATCTCTGCATCAGAGTTGCCCCTCTGGTTGCCTCCTGCTTGCTGTGCAGGGAGTAGGAGGGCATTGATGTCAGGGTGTCCCTCCTCCTCCCACTCCTGCACCCCATCTCCACACAAAGAGAAAAGGATGGAGGGAGCTTGGCAATGCAAATCTCTGTCACGCTCACACACTGTGTGGCTGTGTCTACACGCACGGCTTCTTGCGCAAGTAGGGCCGTTCTTGTGCAAGAATCCACAGAGCGTCCACACTGCCCGCCCGCTCTTGCGCAAGGAAATTTACAGTACGGCATGGAAAGAGAGGGCTCCTTGCGCAAGAGCTACGCTCTTTCTTAACAGCTGTAAGCCCTCTTGCTCAGGAGCTCTTGCGCAAGCGGGCAGTGTGGACCCTCCGCAGGGGTTTCTTGCGCAAGAAAGCCCTATGGCTAAAATGGCCGTCGGAGCTTTCTTGCGCAAGAGAGCGTCCACACTGCCATGGGCGCTCTTGCACAAAAGCACAGCGCACACATGGCAGTGTGGATGTTTTCTTGCACAAGAAGCCGCGAGTGTAGACATAGCCTGTTTGTGTCTGCCATTCTCACAAACACACACTGTCCTTCCCCCTCATCTACTAACCCAACACATACACGGGGGGTTGTTACTACTTTTACTGCTTGCAAAGTGGATTATTTTGACTGGTCTTTGCATTTCATTACTCTCTTACACGTAAATTTAATTCTTTGACTAGTGAGCACTGGCTGTTGGGCCACTCCCAGGATGGGCAAGGCAGGACTTAAATCCACCGCCGTGTGCTCCCCAGGTGAATGTGCGAGCCCCTAGGCCACCCCAGAACCTTCAGGGCAACCCTTATCCTGGCAACCTAATGTGGGAGCCAGCTCCATCTGTGGGGTACCTGTCTGGCCTCTCTCAGGGTGGGTGAGACTCAAGCCCCCAACACTGTACTCCCCAGGCAGATGCTGTATCCCCTAGGCCACTCCAGAACCCACCCCACCTCCCTACCTTCAGGGCGTCCCCTCCCACACTCCGAACCCCTTGGCCCAAGACCAGAGCCTGCACCCCAACCCCCTACCCCAGCCTGGTGAAAGCGAATGAGATTCGGGGAGGAAGGGAAATGGAGTGAGCAAGGTGAGGCCTTGGTGAAGGGGCAGAGCAGGGCCAGGGCCTCAGAGAAGGAGCAGGAAGCAAGCCGGGCCAGGGGATTTGGGTTGGAGGTAGATCTTACATTGCACTTACATTGAAGAAGTGCTCTTGTGGTTATAAAGGTTGGAGAGCGCTGGGTTAGAGCTACTAGAACAGAGGTGGGCAAAAGGGCCTCCATCCGGGTTGCCAGGTGTCCCGTTTTCTACCGGACAGTCCAGTTTTTGGGGCCTCTGTCTGGTAAAAAAAATCCAGAAAATACCAGACACGTGCAATGTCCGGTATTTCCTGTTTTTCTGGCTGGGCACTGGATGGAAGCCTGGCGGGGGCTGAGGGAGGGGCTGGGAGGCGGGGCGCGATCGGCGCTGGGAGCCCAGGCTGCAGTCTGTCGTAGAAGTGATGCCTTGAGGAGGAGGAGAAGCCCTGTCCATGCTCCCGAGCGCTGTTCAAGTGCATTGTGGAGCAGTAGCCAGACTCACTCGTGCTTCGCCAGGACCGTGTGCGGGACAGGCAGTGCCCTGGGATCTGCATGTGCCTGGGTCAGTCCTGCTCCCCGCTGGCTGATTCTCTCCCCCCGTGCCCAGCCTCACTCCCCCGATCTCTCCCAGCCAGCCCCACTGCCCCGGCCCTCCCCCTCACGCCAGCCCTGCTTCCAGTCCCTCCCATCCTCCCGGCCAGCCCCGCTTCCCTCCCGGCCGGTCCCTCCCCCCTGATCAAGTGTGTGTATTTTTGTGAAGCTACCTGGTAACCCTAAATGCGGGTAGAGGAAAATCACCTGCTTCCAATTAATACAGCTAAGTAGAAGGCCTGAAGAATGTACAGTATTAACATACCAGGCAATCTTAAGAGTAATTTTCTATTCTTTTCTTGGCAAAACAATGCCACCTGTGTTCCCAAGGTCAAAATATTAGCTAAAACTGATGAATCTCTTCCTCCACCTTCCTTACTAAGTGTCACCCAGAGCCAAACAGACAACAACAACAAAAATCAAGTACCCAATAACCACTCCAATATTGTTTACCCAGTAGATATATTCCATTCTGACCTTTCCTGGAACATATTTGAGTCAAATTATTCTGAAATATTTCCTGGTCACCTTTCTCAAAAGAGTAATTCTCTAAAGGCAACTCGACTCCTGAATAAAGCGAGCAGAAGTCAGACCTTAACATACGAAGTTTAGAAGAGTAAGTTGATATTAGCTTCTATATCAGGGGTCTACATCACTGACCCTAAAAAAAAAAAAATCAGTCGGGGGCGCCCTCTCCTGCCCCCAGCCGCACTGCCCCCGCCCCTCCCCCCCCATCAAGTGTGTCTGGTATTTTTTCTAAACCTACCTGGGAACCCGAGCCTCTATGGGCTGGACTCAGCCCACCCAGCAAGTTGATCCGGCCAGTGGAAGCCCTGTTGTTGCTCCCCCACCCCAGGCCAAACAGGGCCTGGCGGGGGGAAGCATGCGAAGTCTTCTCCCACCCTACCCCCACACTTAGAAGCACGGCATGCTCCTGGCAGGGCGGGAGGAGACTTCACGTGCTCCCCCCCCCACACACACAATCCCAAGCCCTGATTGGCCATGGGGCAGGGATGGGGAGGACGTGAAGTCTCCTGCCCTGCGAGAGGCACAGCGCTTCTAAGCACTACACACCCCTTGCAGGATGGGGGCAGGATGGGAGGAGACTTTGCACACGCCCCCATCCCAAGGCCAATCAGGGCTTGGGGGCAGAGGGAGCGCGTGACGTTTCCTCCCACTGCAAGGGGCCGGCTGGCGGCTGATTCGAAGAGCAGCGCTCCCTGGCAGAGCAGGGCAGGGAGCCAGAGACTTCACGTGCTTCCCCTCCCCAGGCCCTGATTGAGCTGAGGGCAGCCAAGGAGAGCACACAAAGTCTCCTCCCACTGCCAGGGGCACGCTACTAGAGGGAACCGCCAGCTGTTCAGAACAGCGAGCGGGTGGGGGAGGGCAGGGGTCTGTGGGCGGGGAAGCCTGGAAATATCCTGGCCCTGCCCTTCTGCCTCAGGCCCCACCCATTCCAGGGCGGCCCAAAGCCACTTCAAAAAATTCGGAAGTGGCTCCCAGTCACAATGATTGCCCGAGAGCCTTCCCTAGCTTTACCCGCCAGAGGAGAGCTCCAAACCTTGGGCGGAACTGCCCCTTGGCCATTCATGTTGCCCTTCTCTGGACAGTAAACAGAGAGAAGTGGCTTCCATCCCCCATTCTTCTTGGAGATCAGGAACTAAGGGGAACAGAATTCCTTCCCTGAGGCTACATCTAGACTGCAAGCAGCTTTCGAAAGAGGCTTTTTCGAAAAAGAGCGTCTAGTCTGCAAAAAAGGCCACTTTTTTCAAAAAAAACCCTGTAGTCTAGACACACCCTTAATGTTGAAGTGGAATATTTCTGTGGCTTCCAGGAGGAAAAGGAAGTTTACCTCTTGTATGTAGCATTTACCAGAAACTGGATCAGATAGCCACCATGAATAATTTCTAATACCCAAATGTTTGTCATTACAACCCTCCAGCTTTTGGAAAATGGTGTAGGCCAGTGTTTCTCAACCTTTTTTCATAAAGTACCCCTTTTTCAAAAAAAAATACCCCCAGTACCTACAGATTTCAGACACACAATTTTTTTTTCTACCATTGCAACACATTTGTGTAAACAACTTAATCATAGCTGGGCGAGTGATGAAATTTTTGGGTGTAAAAAGTACAAAAATAAACTGTAAAACTTATAACAAAAATTCAGTTTTCTCCAAATTTCAGTTGTGTTGACGTACCCCCCAGACTTCTCTTGAGTACCCCTAAGGGTATTCGTACCACTGGTTGAGAAACACTGGTGTAAGGCACTGAATATCTACGGAGGGAAATGAAGAGGCAACAGGACTTGACAATCCTGTAAAAAGAAACTTCACCTGAGGGATAGAGTTCAAAGTAAGGGCGGATGTTGCAGGGGCTGGGTTCCTGTGCTTGTCTCTTGGGTAGTGGCTTCTGAAGATGGTCTTACCCTACATCCCCATCTATGATGTTTTCTCTGGAGAGTAGGAGAATATAACGGCCCCGTGAGCAAAGCATCATCCTTGAGTCTTTGCAGGAGAGGAGAAACTCCTCTGTCTTCTCATGGAATAGGCTGGTGTACCAAAGGGCAAACCGACAGTCTCTGCTGCATCCACCACAGCCTGGAAGGAATTGTGGACATCAACTTAGGCCTGGAAGCAGAGTCTGTTCTACTCAGAGGGCTTGGCCTTAAATTCATAAAACTGTGAAATCAGATTTAGCCAAGAGGGCCTGACTTTTCTGCCTCTCTCCAGTTTAGGTTATTAAAATTTCTAGAAAGTCAAGTCACTTATGTCCCTTATTGGAGAGAGTAGTCTTTGGGTGCTGTTGCTTGGACTGCTCTATAGCCACCTGAATCTCCAAAGAGTTCAGCAGTAGGGGAGAGTTTTCGTAAGTAAGGCTTCCCGACCCTCTCAGGAGCAGACGCACAACAAACAGGAGTGTGACAAACTGTCTTGGCTGGTCCATGATGGCCTCACTGATGTCGAAGGTCACTTGACTGGGACCAATAGGCTAAACTTCGATGAGGCTCCCAGACTGCATCAAAAGGAATCTGTAGTTCTGTCAGAAGCCAATGCATGAGCTCTTGATATTGCTAGAATTGAGCCAGTAGAGATGGAGAAGATGGAGTTACCGCCTCAGCTACTGAAAAACTGCTCCCAGGACTGTCAAATCTTGCTGACCATCTTCCTCCAAATACTCTGACATGGTCAGTTGTGGATGACCAGGTAATGGCAAATAGGAATCATGAACCAATCCTGGGTGACTAGGGTAGGTTTCCCATGGTACCCAATATTGCCAGTAGAATGGATCAGCCACTAGAAAAGGGCCCAGTAGCATGAGGATTTCGTGTCCCTTTGGCAATCATGTCTGATTAGAGGACTCCTGTCCCATTTCAGCTCTGTCCGATGTCACAGAAACTCCTGCAGGCCAGTGATTTGGTCCAAGAGAAAGCATTAACAGTACTGATGGCTGCACCTCGAGAGTAGGAAGGAAGAATGACTTTGCCTCCTTGAAATAGACTCTTCCTGTCTCACACAGAGATGGTCTCTATCAATGTTTCCTTTAACTTTTTCCATCCATGTACAGAATAAATTTTATGTGCACCAAGGCATGTGCGGATGTGCACCACCAACAGAAAAACATGCTGAGGCACTATGGGAGCTCTGCTATCCAGCTGGGCAACACCCGAATCTTTCCTGGGTGGCTGCCTAAGTGCTCAGCATACAGGGAACACTGGTCCCAATAGGGAGGATGAAGGCGGTCAGGAAAGACCAAGGATGTCCTGCAAGGACACACAGATCTCCGACTGTCCCAGAATCAGAGGAGAGTCTGTTGGTGGTACTTTGGACCTGGAGGTTCCTTGGTCACCATGGCAGTCAGTTCCCTCTGGGACCAAGTTGCTACTTGTATATTGACTCTTGAAGTGGACCAGAGCAACCCTCGGGGAGCCTTTTATTCCGAGTCTTCACCATCAGAGTCAATGTGTGTGGAACTGCTGGATGTAAACTCATGTGCACTTCCTTCTCCTGCGTAGACTGATTCAGGCTAAAGTCCTTAGTGCCTGTATCTGCCAGATCTGACTCGGACAGGACTGGAGAAGGATCCTTCCTCTTCAGGGCAGCTGGAGACAAAGATGGCTTGTCTATGACAGTGCCCCTTACTCTCATGGGAAGCTTTCTCCAAAGGCTTAACAGCTTAGCCTCCATCCCCCACTAGTGCTTGGAGGGCTGCTATCAGTTTAGTGAGTCTGACTTAAGGGGGGAGGAGAGTCCCCAACCCAGATCCGAGAGGCTTTGTTACCTTTTCCATCAAATATTTTCTGAGTCTTAGTTCCTGCCCCAGTGAGTTCTGTGAATGTGAAGCTGGAGAGGCATCAGCCCGCATCACTCTGTATGCCCTCCATCGGGAGCATGAGGAAGAGCTACAACACATCTTCAGGCCAATGGATCTGGCTTGTAAAAAATCTAAAAATTCCAGACTCGGGTGCATGGTGCACACGGAGACCGTCACTCCAGGGACTACTGCTTACTCACATTTGACTGCAATGCCAGAGTAAGGATGGAAGATGGATGCCGTCCGAACAGCTGACATATCAAAATCGGGGATGGGTAGATACATGAATGGATAGACAATGCATGTCAAATATTTCTTAACCCCTTTATGCAAAGGACAATGTGTATCAAGAACAGCTCACGCCAAACATCCCAACATGTATGTAACATTTTAGGTACTCAAAAATGCAACAGCCTTCATCTCTGTGGAGGAGCATTGAGACACCGCCTTAAGAAAGCCCAAAACAAGGTCAGGGATCCTACTGTGCAACAGGAGATCTGCAGCTCTGAATGGAATGGAGAAGCCCTGAACAGTGTTGCAGAAGTCCATGGTGATCCAGAGGTACTGGGTATAGGCATCCACAAAGATGTACTGCAGAACAGGAGGTGGGTTGGGGCAGGGAGGGAGACAAAAAACAAGCAGTCAGCCAATGAGAATGATAAGCAGAAGACGCTTTAACTGTACAGAATAAGGAAGTCATTGGCAGTGGAATATGGTGTACAAAGGTGGTGCAGGAAAGCTTACTATCTAATCTGCAATCTAATCTGCAATACTCATGCTAGCAGAACTGGAGCTGAGCCACCTGTGATGTTCAGTCTGACACAGCCTCTCCTACAGGTGACAGCACCTGTAAAAGGCAAGAGCACCCTCTTGGGACCTAGCCACTGCATAAGAAACATGCTAGGGTCAATTTTACAAAGAGAGGAAAAAAGGAAGCCTGGCTGCTTTTTACTCCTATAAGTGTCTGCTAAGGTGCGCGCCTGCATGGCCATGCACAAAAAATTCTTCCCCACCCACCTCCTCTGGAGAGCTGCGCAGCAGCACTCGCAGGCAGGCAGCTGCTCCAGTGGCCAGGAACGTGTGTGTGATTAAATTGGGTACCACGGTGGCACACATCCAAACCAGCCCACATGACCTCAAATTAGTGCACAAGCCAAAACTCTCTCCACTTATGGTTGGAAAATCTTGGAACACTGCCTGTAAGCACTGCAGAATCAGAGTGTCTGCCATCCCTCACACCAGCATCGGGACTGTTAACTAAGTTTCAGTTGCAGGGCCAAGGAAAACCTGCGCAACTACACCAGGCCTTGGCAAAATACGTCCCAAGGGCTGGGTTCAGCCCGACAAGCCACTGGATCCAGCCTGTGAATGCTGAGGGGAGCCTCAGACAGGCTCACCGCTTGCCTCACCCCACCTGCACGCTGCTCAGAAATGTGGTTGTGGGGCAGTTTCACTTTAAAAACTGAGACCAGAGGGGAGGGGGGAAAGCATCAAAAGCTGCTCCCACCCCCAGCTCCCACCTCGTCCACGATCTCCGCACTAGGCACAGGAAAGTGGCCAGCTAGGGCAGGAGAGCTGCTAGCCTGGCCACCCAGGAGCAGGTGTGCAAGAGAATCAAGGTGGTCCACTGAGACCCCCGACCCTGAGCCCTGAGCTTACAATGGCCGTCCTGGGTCAGACCAAAGGTCCATCTAGCCCAGTAGCCTGTCTACCGACAGTGGCCAGCTCCAGGTGCCCCAGAGGGGGTGGACCGAAGACAATGATCAAGCCATTTGTCTCCTGCCATCCCTCTCCAGCCTCTGACAGACAGAGGCCATTTTATCCCCTGGCTAATAGCCTTTTATGGACCTAACCTCCGTGAAATTATCTAGATACTCCGATTGGTCAGCATCTGGGAGCTGCCTGTTTTGATAAAAGGCAGTGAGGAAGCACAAGGGGCTCCCAGATATTCACAGAGCATATGGCTGCAGCCTGTGCAGGGGCGGGGAAGGCAAGGAGACTGATTCAGGAACTGGCTGCTGGGTCTCCTGGCCAGAGCCTGCCTCTGGCACTCCAGCTCCTGCCTTCCCCAATCCTCTGCCCCCTACTTCTGCCTCCTACTCCACATATCCAAATCCTCAGCCCCCTTCCTGCACCCATACCCCCTCCCAGATCCAGCACTCCAATCCCCTGCCCCAAATCACAGTCCACCCCTGCCCTGGCTCACAACTCAAACCCCTGAACCTTCTCCTGTATCCCAATTATTTGCCCTAGGTCACAATCCCACCCCCTGAACCCCAGCCCCCTGCCCTAAATCAGAACTGCCTCCTTCACCCAAACTCCCTCCCTTACCCAAGCTCCCTTCTGCACCCAACCTCCATCCCAGACCCCACACCTCCTCCGTTAATATCATGGAAGAGTGCAGCCCTCAACCACTTTCCAAATTCTTTGAGTGCCCCCCCATCAAAAGTTATTGCCCACCCCTGAACTACACCAATGCTAAGGGAGTTGTACAGGTGCAACTAGGCGGAACTTGGAGATGGACATTCTCTTTCTCTGTCTCGGATCCTATATTAGGGGCCTGTCTTGTCCCAAGTGTACCAAGCCAGAAAGGTTCCAGCCTGACTGTCTGATCCCAGGATGAGTTTTCAGGGCTGGGATTTAGAAAAAAAAATCCACATTTTTTCCCTTGGAAACTTGGCAAACTTGAGTTGGAGTTACTGGGGCACAATTAAATAGAATGACACAATGAAGTAACATGACATTAACCCCTTCCCCTCCCCGGGTGGGGAGTGCTGCAGAGGAAGGCAGGAGACTAGGGATGGGTGAAGGCATGCTGACTGATTACCCACGCCAACACTGTGTGCTGGAAAGCTGAACATGAACTTTGCTGAGTTTGTGTTCCACTCCCAAGTGTGGAGTGCAAGAGAAGCCTTCGGGAGGGGGCTGCACACTACGGAGGGGTCATGGCCCTCACCCAGCACACAGGAATTACATAGTTTCTGTTGTATCTAGCACACCCTATGTACTGGAATTGTTACTCACACACCTGTTGAACCCTTCACTGTTCTTGCCTCTAAGCCTTCATCCACACCATCCCATCTCCACCTTCAAGGAATCACTAAACCCGCCTCTTCTAGGAAGCGTTTGAGCTCAGCTGTCTTGTTTGCATCATCTGTCACCTTTTGCCTTTTAACTTTAAACTCTGCAGGGGGGGGGGGAGGTGGGAATCTGTTATCTGTTTGCCCCCACTCCGTGGCACAATTTGCTTTTACAGAGCATACAAATGGCACATAACAATAACAAAACTGCCTTGACTCCTACTAGAGAAACTATGAACAAGTCCATTTTCTTGATTAAATTCAATGTACAACTCTCAAGAGACAAATATTTTCTCTCGGCTGTAAATCTTGGAGCTATTTCCTTCAACACTAAGATAACAAAGAACATTATGTTAAGACAACAATTTCTATTTGCAGTTGCAGGAGCTGAGTGCTTTCCTGACCTATCAGGAAGGTTGTCCCATTAAAAAACACCTAACCAGACAAGTTGGTCTAGTCAACTGCACAGTGAAGTGAAACTCAGGAGACTTGGATTCTATTCACACTGGTCTGCTAGGTTACCTTGGACAAATCACTTTAATGTTCCGTACCTCAGTTTCCCCATATATAAAATGAGGGTAATGATACTGACCTCTCTTTAAAGCACTTTGAGATCTACTGTTTAGTAGTGCTAAATAACAATTACATATCATTGTTCCAGCTCACAGACTAAGACCAGAGAGAAGTCAGAGAAGAGTACAATAAAAAGAACATTCTATAATTGACAAGATACACTATAGCTAGCATGGCACACCTGAGTTTTTAAGACAGACTTAAAACACTTTATTTATTTAGATTATTTAGGATCTGTACTAGTGTAACTATTCCAGTTAGGGGTATGAATATTTACCAATATCATTATGCTGGTACATAAAGAATGGATGAAGTTCTACTGGTTTACAGATGTGTTTATATACCAATCACGTATTCTCCTTCATGTTCAGTCACACAAGTTCTTTATACTGGGGTAGTTGTGTGGTGGGGAAGCCTTATATACTTCTGCTTGTTCACTTCTTACCCTTTTGTTGTCAGCAGGGCTGTGGTAGAACTGTGAGATGGCCACATCACTGGTGTTTCCTGCCCCAAAGCTGAATTTCTGTGATATCTTTTTAAACGTCTTCCCGTAATCGTTCGACACATAAACCTGCAAAGGAAAACAACCCTGCTGTTATGGAGACACAGGTTTAATTTCCATGATGGCACTCCCTGCCTCTCACATGAGAACAATGGCTTCTTAAAGCATGCAACTATAGGGAAAAAACCAGGATGCAGAAGGGACAGAATCTACTCTCTTCTCCAGGGGCAATAGCAATGTTGGAAACCAAAGGTAATACACACAGGGGATAATGCACAAAGGCGAAGACAGAGAGGCTATTACATCATGAGAGCTGTACGCTCTGCACAGCCTGTGCGCCAAACCCCTAATCCAATATTGTTTATTGTAACCATGTTGGGCCCAGGATATTGGACAAACAAGAGACGTGAGGTAATACTGGATCATATTCTGTTAGGAAAAGAGACAAGTTTTCAAACTACAAAGACCTAAAAAAGAGCTCTGTGTAGCTTGAAAACTGGTCTTTCACCAACATACTTTGGGCCAATAGAAGGCATTACTAACTCCAGGTCTACACAAAAGGGAAAAGCTGAATCAAGATACATAACACTAGCTATGTTAATTACATAGCTGGAATTGACATACCTTGATTCAAGTTTCCCTGCCATCTCCACAACAGGAGGCAGACGGGAGCAAAAACTCCCATCGGCTTCCCTTACTTCTTGCAGGAGCAGGAGGACCGTCCCCTGAGTACCAGCACCTTCTAAGTTCAATTTAACAGGTTTTTACTAGACCTGATAAATCGAACTCAGAAGATTGATCGATTCTGCTTAGTGAAGATATGGACTCACTCACCTTATCCGACAGACAGAGCTGAAGTAATTTTCTAAGCAAACTACTGCAATTGTTTTTATCCAGCTGGCAGAACAGCCAAGAGGCTATCTACTTCCTCCCTCCAGCCAAAATCAACACAGGTGCTGAAGTGTTCATGAATATTCTGCATGATCGCAGTATCTAGTACCTCCAGTGATGGACAAGGACCCCATTGTGCTAGGCTCTATACAAATACAGAGCCAAAAGACATCCCTGCCTGTGACATGGTGGTCCTCCCACACCCATCTCAGAAAAGAGCCATAAAAAAGTCCTCCAAGAGGCTGGCGCAGCTTTGGAGGAACTAGCCAATCAGGGACCAGGGAGGCCTACAAAGAGAGCTGCAAAGCAGAGCAGTAATTAGTGCACGGCAGAGCTCAAGCAGTGCAGACTGTGAGGCTGGCTGGCTGGCTGCGGAAGTGATCTCCAGGAGGGAAAGCCCTGGAGACACCATTCTCTCCAAGTGGGGAAACAGAATGAGAGAGACTAGACAAGAGGGCACGGAGATGGGTCCCTGTTAAAGGTCTACGCTGAAGGGGTTTGTATTTCACACAGGGTGTGACTTGGCCAAAGGACTGAGTAGCTGAAGACTTTCTGCATAAGGGAGTGCAGGCAGATGCACTCGGCCAGATGGGGGCGCTCACAGAGGTGAGTGCCACCCTGTTACACTTCCCCAAGGAGTGTACAGTTACTTACCAATCCTGTAGAGATGTAAGTGATGGTTTTGTCTAGGTGCCTGGGATGGGACACAGACCTTTCCCCCTCAGCCTTTCTTGCCCACAAATGTTGAATTCATCACAGCAAATTAGGCATTTGCCATTCTGTGGATTGGTACCACAGCAGTGTATTTGCTCACCCTGCCCTGCACCTGGAGCAGTCATTTATGCCAGTGCAAAATGAACACCAAGCGCTGCTTCTTGACTGGGGCAGTGCTTTTACACCTGCTTTCCAGGTGTCCGCGGCTGCCCAAGAGCAGGGCAGTGGTGAATCTGGCCTAAAAACTGTAATTAGTAAATGATGGTTTTTATTTTACTGCACCAATATGAATCAAGCATGAGCCAGAATAAGCCAGAAGTAATCACCCTGTTTCATGCCCTCTGCGAAAGGGCCTCAGATTAGTTCATTCCGGGCAGGGGTCCACCTTACAATAACTGCCATAATAAATGGCACTCTGCTGCCTCTTCCTGGCAGGCTGAGCTGCCTGGCCAGTGATTTAATGAGGCTGGGACAATGAATGCCCTTTTCCCTCCAGATCCAGGTTGAAGCACATTGGCAGCTGAGGCCAGATTGGTGAGGCCTGCGTGGCTCTCAGTCAGTGGGAAGAGAACGCTACATTTCTAAAGCTATCCATCTGCCACCTTTCGCCAGTATGAAATTCACTGAAACAGAACTGAACTGTTCTAGCTAGCAGGTTAATGCAGTGAAGGAGGTAGTGCCACCACAAACACACCGAGGTTATCAGATGGCCAGTTAAACACTGTGTGGTGTAAGAGGAAGACTAAATAGTGTTGTTCTACTGCGCTATAGGGAATTTGAATCCATATAGAGATATGGGGTCTTTGCAGAAATTGGAAGGAAGCACAGGCTTTGAAAGCTGAACCTTGTGACACCTTGATGGGACAAATATCCCCTCCTCCCTAAAAAAAAGACATCAAGGAAACTCCAAGTCAAGGCTTTGTTTTCTATTCCCTATGTCATATTAGCAGCACTAAGTCAAGGACATTTACAAGCAATGGAATTCACAGATCACTGGGACTCAATCTGCCTACCTCCACAGGTTCAACCGTTGAGCTGACCCTACCAGAATTTGAATCTATGGAGAAAGAAAGTCTAAATTCCTTAAAGTCTAGACAAATAAGACATCTTCTTTCAAGCATATAACAGAGCAGCACGCTCTTACCAAGTGGCAAAATAGAGAAAAGCATGTCACCTCTCATAAAAGTACATTCAATGCTTTCATCATAATAATAAAAAAATCCACATACTTACATCACTTTTCTTAGGCCGCAATAATCCCAGGCTGTCTCTAGCCAAGGCCACAATCACATTGCTCTTTTCTCCTGCCCAATGAACGACCATCTGATTGTGAGAATCATTCAGGCTAACCTGAAATACAAATTAAATGTATATAAAATGGTTACCCAAGACAATGGACTTAGAAACACACAGACAGCTCCCACATGAGTCAATTGCTTTCTTGCCTTCCTATGAACGTGAAAGGTTGGAGAAACGTGTTTGCAGTAGCTGATTTAATTCATATAAGTAAACGGAACATTCGATGTAACTGAGAAGACACTAACACACAGTTGGTTGGCTTTAGGACTATGTCCTTGAAGGATTGCACAGCTCCAGGACTGATGCCTTAACAGAGTACAAGGGTTCTCTAGGCCACCTGTTCATATTCAGATCCAGTCAGTGGGGACAGGGAGTTGTAATTCTCAGCTATTTGGATGCCTCTGAGAAATGATTTCGAAGGTGCCTTGCTGCATCACAAAAGAATGTCTTCAAAACTGGTTCCACTCAAATGACAGGCCCCCAAAAGTACAAGGCAGGATTTAAGCACATGGGCAGGTCCAGTGATTTCTCTTCCTCATGCTGTGGGGGGAGGCTTCAGTGGCCAGAGGCGTAGCATATTAGCAAGAAGCAATGTTTGGGAAGCTTACATTACAGCTATCTGTCCTATGGATTCAGTCAGCAGTGTTGTGTAGCCAGTACCTCTCTTCAGTACTAATGTTCATGCTGTTTTTTCCTAAGAACAAGAGTTCCTTAGTCAATGCACACAGTACACAAGTACCCTGACCAAGCATAAAAGAAAAAGCCAAGAGTACTTCATATCTAAAAATCACTACAGGTTACTCCGACCCAGACCCATCAGTCTATGCAATTGTGTATCTCAGATCCATTGTTCTTCTGCTCCCCAAGAGACCAGGTACAAAAGCTGGCCAACCGCAATTATGTCAGACGGGTGCCAGCAATTGTATCCCGGAGCAACCTAATGCCAATGAAAGGTGAGAACATGACAGATACACATGCTGCCATTCAACCAGAAAGACAGCTTAGAACAGTGGTGAGCTATCTGCAGCTCAACGGTCAGACGCAATCCATCAGGGTTCTATGTGTGGCCCAGGAGACATTTTGTTTATTGTTGCTCACTCACAGGATTGCCACATTCCGCTGGTTTCTGACCATGACACTTTTTTTCCTACTGGTATTACTAACGTGACATGCACATAAAGCAAGGTCATGTGAAGTGAGGTGTGTGCTGATTTACAGCCAATGTTGTGTGCAGAGCCATGCCCTCCCTCTGCATCCAATCAAAGCGTTGCTATGATTCAGTCGGCACATCCCACAAATTCGAGGTAGCCGAGCGCAGATAGCAAAACTACTCTGTTGCTACACTTCAAAGGCAAAAGCACTACGGGGAGCATGGGGCCAGCGGGGGACTCAAGCAGTTCCCTGCGGGCCCCGTAATCCCCGCGGCATTCAAAGCGGCAGCGCCGCATGGAGCCCAGGGTCCCCAGGTGACCCCAGGCTCCATGCAGCATTGCTGCTTTGAAATGCTATGAGGAGCCCAGAGTCAGACTCCATGTGGCATTTCAAAGCAGCAGGGCCGCATGGAGCCCGGAGTCACTGGGCAAGTCCCCATCTGACCCCAGGTTCCACACGGCGCTGCTGCTTTGAAATGCCACATGCAGCCTAAGCCAGCTGGGGGCTTTCAAAGCAGCAGTGCCGTGTGAAGCCTGGGTTCTGACCCCAGCTCCACATGGTGCTGCAACTTTGAAGCATCCCTGCTCCCCCCCCCCGGCCCCCGACCCCAGGTTCCACACGGCGCTGCTGCTTTGAAATGCCACATGCAGCCTAAGCCAGCTGGGGGCTCCTGATAGAGGCAGCAAGGGGGAAGAAGGGAAGCGACAAGTCACCTAGCATGTCGACTAACCAATAACCATTTGCTTATCAGATAGTCGGCTAGTCGTTCACATCCCTAACTTGAAACAGTCAATTCCTCACCACCCTCAAGTTGCTCTAGCAACTTTAAAATATTTCTAGCCATGGAGGTTAGCACTGAGACCAGGTCTATGCTCGACCTAGCCCCTCGGCTTAAGGTACACAACTCCAACTAAGTAGAACACATAGCTAGAGTCGACTTACCTGAGCTTGGCAGCATTGCCACAGCAGAAGGCTGATGGGAGAAAATACTCCCATTGGCTTCCCTTACTCCTCACAAGAGCAGAAGTACTGGATGCCTGCAGGGGAGCTCTCTGAATTCGATTTAGCAAGTCTTACCCTTACTCGCTAAATTGAACTCCAGAAAATCGATTACTGCAATCTTCCTTTTAGTGTAGACAAGGCCTAAGATCATTACTGGCACTCCAATTCATAGAATCATAGAACACTTAAACTGGAAGGGACCTCAAAAGATCATCAAATCCAGTCCCCTGCCTTCATGGCAGGACCAAGCACAGTCTATATCATCCCTGACTGACAGATGTCAATTTAACCTGCTCTTAAATATCTCCAGTGATAGAGTTTCCACAACCTCCCTAGGAAATGTATTCCATTGTTTAACTACCCTGAGTTAGGAACTTCTTCCTAATGTCCAACCTAAACCTCCCTTGCTGCAGTTTAAGCCCATTGCTTCTTGTCCTATCCTCAGAGGCCAAGGAGAACAATTTTTCCCCCTCCCATCCTTTTAGATACCTGGAAACTGCTATCATGTCCTCTCTCAGGGTATGTCTCAAGAGACACGAGGAGTAACGGTAGTTCGAATTAGAGAGCCTAATTCGCACTACCTACTCCGTGCCAGGTGTAGCCATGGGCACGGAGTCCACACTAAGGGGGATTTAAAAATGGTGGCGCCCAGGAAGATGCAAATGAATCTCAGGATATTTAAATCCCGGGCTTCATTTGCAACTTCGAATGCCTACATTAGCCACCCTAGTTCGAACTAGGGTGGCAGTGTAGACATACCCTCAGTCTTCTCTTTTCCAAAATAAACAAGCCCAATTCCTTCAGCCTTGCCTCATAGCTCATAGTTTCTACCTCTTAATCATTTTTGTTGCTCTTCCCTGGACCTTCTCAATTTCTCCACGTTTCTTGACATGTGATGCCTAGAACTGGACACAATACTCCAATTGAGGCCTAATCAGTGCAAAGTAGAGCAGAAGAATGACTTCTCGTGTCTTGCTCACAAAGCTCCTGTTAATGCATCCGAGAAACATGTTTGCTTTTTTTGCAACAGTGTCAGACTGTTGACTCCTAGGGTATGTCTACACTAACTCCCTAGTTCGAACTAGGGTGGTTAATGTAGGCAACCAGAGTTGCAAATGAAGCCCTGGATTTGAATTTCCAGGGCTTCATTTGCATATTGCCGGACGCCGCCATTTTTAAATGTCCGCTAGTGCGGACTCCATGCCCGCGGCTACACGGGGCACGAACTAGGTAGTTCGGATTAGGCTTCCTATTCCGAACTACCATTACTCCTCGTGGAACGAGGGGAGAGAGGGGAGGGGAGGCGCGCACTGGGGCTCCCCTCCTCTGCTGGGGAGGAGGTAGGAGTCCTGAGGGGAAGCGTGCATCGGGGAGAGCGGGAGGAGTCCTGAGGGGAAGCGTGTACATCGGGGCTCCCCTCCTCTGGGGTAGAGGGAAGTCCAGCAGCTGCGCACCACTTCCGGGGTTTCCGGAAGTGTGCTGCCTGCTCCCCTCCTCCAGGTCTGTGGTGCGCCGGGAGGAGGTAGGAGTCCCGGAGGAAGGCGCATGCTGGGGCTTTGGGGGTGGGGGGAAGGCACACACCGGGGCTCCCCTCCTCTGCAGGGCAGGAGGTAGGAGTCCCAGGGGAAAGCGCATGTCGGGGAGAGGGGAGGAGTCCCAGGAGGAGGCTCTTGCCGGAGCTTCCCTCCTCGGGGACAGGGAGGGAGGCACATGCCAAGGATTCCCTGCCCCAGCCAACACCCTGGCCCCTGTTCCCACTGGCACTCTGCTCCCACTGGCACCCTGTCCCCACCCCAGCACCCTGTCCCTTGCCTCCACTGACACCCTGTCCTCTGCCCCAGGCCCTTGCGCCAGAATCCACTGGCCCTCTGGTCCTTGCTCCAGCCCCCTGTCACTTGCCCCAGCACCCAGTCTCCTGCCCCAGCACCCACTGGCATCCTACCCAGCACCCCGTCCCTTGTTCTGGTACCCCCTGACCCTTCCCCAATACCATGTGCCCTGCTCCCACCAGCACAGTTGGGGCCACATTAGTGAGGCTTGTGGGGGGTTTGGAGTTTTTATTTTGCATCTCACTTGTGTGGCCCCAACTGACTTTTCTGTGGGTCAGTGACACCCGACCCAAAACAGGTTCCCTGCCCTTCTCAGAAATAAAGACAACGTAGAAACTTTTTGTGTTTGACATCGTATTTTATTTGAAAATGAAACCTGGCCAACAAACCCCCAGTTGGGGCCAAGCCCCCACCTGGCCACAGCATCATAACACTCCAGCGCTCTCCTTTCCCCCAGATCCTTGAGCTGAACCTATCATACAATGAAACCCCCTGCCCTCACATACACTAACCCAAATTCTTGCACCCTCATATCCACATGCCTGTGGCTTGCTTAGTACCCTAACCCTACATCTGACCCCAACACTGGCCCGCCTGAAGCCCCCTCCCCAATCCAGCATCCCCTTCTCCACCTCCTCCTGCATCCAGATGTTTGGGCATTAGACCAGTGTACACTTTGTAAAGATTTTTTTTTTAAATTGATATTTTGTATATGGAGCCTGAGCTTTAAGAGAGAACACTAACCACACAAAATAAACCAGAGTCTTGTTAGGAGCATTAAACTGACTCCTACAACTGTGACCATATTAAAAGTTGTGTCTACACTGGCCCCATAATACGGAATAGTTATGCAAAGCAGATAAGTCAGAATAGGGAAATCCACGGGGGATTTAAATATCCCCCGTGGATTTAAATAAACATGTCCGCCGCTTTTTTTCCGGCTTGGGGAAAAGCCGGAAAAAAGCATCTAGACTGGCGCGATCCTCCGGAATAAAGCCCTTTTCCGGAGGATCTCTTATTCCTACTTGCAAGTAGAAATAAGATATCCTCCGGAAAAGGGCTTTAAAT